CAGACTCTCAGTTCATGAGAGCACTTCAAGGCAGTGTCCACGATAAATCCCCAAGACGAGTAGGATTAATACGCCTGGCAGGACGGAATTCCGCGACCCTGAGCAGGCGCTGCGTAGCGCCTTTCCCAAGGAAGGTACCCTTATAAGGGCCTATCAAGCTACAACATACCGACCCGAACGCCCACCACGCCCGCCCGCCCACAAATGGACGACCGTTCCTGATGCTCGTATTGCTTCATTTGCGAAGTAAAATATGAAGCGAAGGGATTGATATGAAGCGGCTGCGGTGCTGCATGGATATATGAGTACATACGTGCAGCCGTATCTACCGTAGTGGTTAGGGACGATGCCAACGAGTAACTCGTCCGAAAGCTTTTGAGTCATTGAGAAAAAGGCTTTTCTTCGCAGGTTTTTGACCGTTTCACTTCGTTTTTTCGCCATTTTCCACTATATAGCGCCCTGCTAGCATTTAAGGCCGAGTACCAAATTCTCGTGCCAACTGCCTTTAAGGGAACAGTCCTTTTTGATCGTTTGTGCGGAGATCGTCAAAAATTCTACCGTCGTCGTAGACCTATTTCCTCTTACCATCTTTCGAGAAGGTGTGCACCACTGAGGAAGACACGATAGTTGGTTGTCTCCGCCCACATGACCGATTTGGTCTGTGCCCTTGATCGTGTCTAAAGCTGCAGTCATACCCGGCGAGTGGGTAGGCGTCTGTTACCAGCAATTAGGGAAAGTTCTGTCACACTTTTTCGAACTCAAAATACTTGCCCATTACCTGAAGAGGGGTAACCGGTAATGTGAGCACTTATACATCAAGGAGTGGTCTTTCTATTAGTACCACTCGCTTGACTCCTGCTTCTTCTTCTGTAATATGGACAAGGATGTTTATCCGCTACCCAACGCCCGACCGCCTCACAAGCGCTTCCTGCAAGTCTTACTCCATCCAATCCTGGCGCTGACAGCCAGCATGATAGCTTGCAAGATGGCAAAATAAATGGAGCTACTAAGGGGATGCCCATCTCATCGGACAACCTTCCACGACGCTAATGCTTGAAAGGGAGCCTACAGTTTTGATGACGAAGTGAGGTTTGGGTTACCTGTGAACTCAGATTGAGGGAGCTGCGGTCGTGAAAGTGCTGGATGAAGAAGCTGCTTCCTCGGTCAATGCGTACGCAAAGCAGCTACGAGATCTAAAGCGTATCCGTCGATCAGAGGGAAAAATTTGTCCGCACAGCCCGCCCTCATCATGGTAGTGCAGCGCACTCCGTGCAAAAACTTCGAGCCTGTACCCATCATGCGAACGAGCTGGATGGTCTTCCCGATGCAGTGGTGTAGCACAGATTGCTGCCATTCTAACTGCAATTGCGCCCGCGTACTCAATCGCTATGTGGAGAGAAACACTCGATAATCGACAATTCAATGTCAAGATTGGGATGGTGTACAACTTGCGTCGTCGGCCTCCGCCATTGTGAAGCGATGCATTCATAGGAGGGCGCTCAGAAACTGTCAAGAACCCCCGGGCAGGTAACACTGCTCTACACATTTCGATGCTCACCGCGTCTTTAAAAAAGAAAGCCTAATTTGAAAAAAAGTGACAGAATTCTTTTCTGCCAACCAATATTTTGTTGACGCCGGCTTTTGGTCCGTAGTTTTTCTAATTGCTCTTGTCAGGATGGATAATTGTCGTAGGCAACTAGTGGAAGTGTGGCGTTCAAGCGCTGTCTATCCAAGCATCGGGGAGTTTATTGGTGTGCGCGGTGTAAGCACCTGTTAGAGGGACATCGTTTGTTGGGAAATCCCCAACAGAATTTGCCGCCAGGAGAGGGGGGTTGTACTTGGGCTGGAAAAAAATTTATTTTGATAGTTGATTTTTCTCGCTTCATGGACGTTGTAAAGGGGGGGGGTCGTACTTGGTCATTGTTGGGAGGGGGTCGTATTTACGTTTTGGCGTTGTAGGAGGGAGTGGTGGTTGACTTTTGGTGATTTTCCTGTCCTGTTTCATGCGTACATATGATACCCCCACCCCGCTGAGCCATCATTCGGATGAGGAAGGGGATAGAGGGCCGCGTAGGGAGGAGGGAGGGGGTCGTACCAACCCGCCAAAAAAAGGGGTGACAGACTCGACTAAAATCCCCAGCAATGACGTGCCGCCGCTGGTTAGGCCCGCGCGAATCAGTGGCTTCCCGATGTTGGTCGCCTAGAAAAATGGTTCACTCATCATCCTTCAGTTGCCCAACACTGTATGGTTTACTGACGTAATTCCTTCCCTGAACGCACTCATCACACGTCACGATCGTTGTGATACATTCGTTTTCGCTGTACATGGTGGACGTGTAAGGGGACTGGGCTTGGCGTAGCGCCAGCCCGACTTACACCAATTGCTGTCGCTTGCCCTTTCGTGACGAAAAAAATTCGAGAACTAGCTGTCGCAGCGCCAGACGCAGCCTCCTCACGCGCTGCAGCGTCTGCAGCGAAAACGACTTCGACATCCGACATATCTTGACGACGATGATACAGCTCTAACGAACCGTTTTTAGTACTTTTTGGTAAATACATAAGCTCTGCAGACGATCCTTATTTAGTAAATTTGTTAGTGCCCTACGAAGCTCCAACATCTCATAGGCACTGCTTCGTCGATTCACTAATCGTCCGTTGCTCACTGGTGCTCGACCAAGCGAATTTAGTGTTCAGAGTGTCCACGAAAAGGCGGTCACTGGCAAACCGTCGGATTCCAAGGTATATCGCACTACTATCTACTCATTTCACTAACCAGATGAAAACGGCCAAGTGGTTTTGGTGGGTAGCGCTGCGCTATGATGACACGAGGTACGGGGACACGCGGACAGTTGACCTCAGTCTCTCACGCTGCAGACGATGGGGCGTCTCCTGACGTCTGCAGCGTGGGGGACTGAGTTTGGCGCAGCGCCAGCCGCTTCTCCACCAGTTGTTATAACGAGCAGTCGACAAAGATTGCTTGAAATAGGCTGAAAATAGGTTGCACCCAAGCTAATCCTCCCCGACACAACTCAGGGCCTACGGCGAGAACGACTATATCTGCAGGCGGACTATCCTGTGATTTTTATCGATTTGAGCAGCGCGCGCCCAAGCGTCTAATCGTTTTGATTCCCGTTTGTCCACGAGACGCGCCGCAGCCGCGCGTGTTTGATGTAGGCTATTGTTAAGAAGATAGTTTGGGAAACGAGGGCTGCACAGTACTAATGATTTTTCGTGCCTATACTGAAGAAACAAGTGGTCGACTTGGACAACATCTTTGCAGAGCACCATGGCCCTAATTTTTCACAAGGGCTTAGAGGCACATTCCTGATGGTCATGTGGGCGGAGAAATGGGTAGGGACTGTCAATCGCTGTGCTTTCCTCGTTGCAGCGATCCAACTAGCCCCTCCTCATCTTATTAGAAGGAGGACCTTTCCATCGGGGAATATACAAATGTTGTGAGTCTCCGCCCACAATATTATCGCGGAATACTTCTCCAATTTCGCATTTTGTTTACGCCAGGGCTTTCGAGGCCAACTCAAGTTTGAGTTGGATGAGCTGTCTTCTATCCTGTCTCATATTCTCTGTACCAGTTGCTGCCAATCACCCACAAAATTGCGTCGACGGAAAAGCTTAATTGACCTGGGCGAGATGTGATCTCACATGCCGTGCTCCAAGTACCAATCCCTTTATCCACTGCGCTATTTCGCTTGAATGAAGCAGTAGTAATTGGTGAATGGTTTTCAGGGTCCGATCCTGCTACAGATTTCCGTGGTACTGGGATCCTCGGCTTGCTACAGCTGTATTGTATGGCAAAGGAGTTGCCCGAGGGTAAACTTGCAGAAATCGTCCATCTTTCTCGACAGGAGCCCAACGTAAGTGTCCATAGCCATTCGGCCTCGCTGTATTCTACTATGATTTTTTTAGGATTTTCCATTGGCAGTCGTGGGAATAAATATCACAGCGATACTCATTGCTAGGCTAAAACAAGGGGAGCTGCTTGAGTAAGTAGTGATTATATTTGGCTAAATGCCAAATTTGGATAAATCCAACCATTTCAGATCAGCAATAACCGCTGGTGGATACCTAAAAGCTATGAATAAGCTTTATCAATCGTCCATACTCGTATTTTGTAAACATTGGCGAGAAGAAAACTGTACAGTAAAAGATTGTCAACAAATCTTAAATCGTAAGTCCACAGTAATTGTTTCCAAACCACATCACAATGGAATTAGTGTATTTCAGGAGTCACTTTACTACTTCGAAATTCCCCGCAGACATTATTAAATTCTCCTTGAATCAATTCTCCTTGAATTATGGTGCTCAATAAAGACATTATTATGCCTTTTTTTCGATTCTCGAGATACGTGATGAAATCAATATGTCTAATCGATACTACGAAAATTGTGGACTGTCAACTGGCACGCATAAAATCCATTCATAAAATTCATGAAGGACTTGTACTGTAATCAGGGCACGTCGTAATGGGGAATTGCGGAATCCCCAGCGGTGCCGTGGCACCCTCAGCAACAGGAATTCGCGGAAAACCAGGAATTTTTTGGGATATTCCGGAAAAAACCGGGACAAGTGGTTAGGACGTAGGAAAACCTAGGAACGTGGTAGATAGGATGGGGAACGAGAGGGTCGTATTTTACGAAATTTTCCCCCCCCCCCTGACGCGCCCTGACAGCAATTAACAGGTGACAGTGGGTGCGGTGGCTTGGAGGTGGACCTCATTTTTATTTTCCTCAAAGGTACGCTCACTTTCGTTTTCGAAACTTTTTTGAAGAAGCAGTATAATCGTTCAGATCTTTGCAAATTTTTTGGTGCAGTCCATAGTTTCCACCCTGTCGCGGCTCAATGCTTCTTGTTCTTCTTTTTTCTCCGATCACACAAACTGGTACTCCATACCGCACCAAGCCCACCGCTTACACTCCTAAGCATCCGCAAGGATTTTATTTGGAGCGTTCTGGACACATTTTGCAGTTTCCTTCACAGTGGCATGTCCAGGAGTGCTAGATGGCGAACTATAGGTTTGAGCCAATAAGTTCTTTCCCCCCCGACTTTTTGTAAATAGGCGGAGAAACCGCAACCTGAATGATTAGAGGTATGCACGCACCGCCATCGACGCCAATGCTCAGGCAGCTTGTCGGTTCCATCGTTCCAGAAGGACGGGGGCTGGGACCCGAAGAAGGCCACAATGCCGCACAATCACCACTGTGACATGGTTTTGCACTGGTAATTGTGCGGCATTATAGCCTGCAAATGCAGGGTGGGCGAGTGATAGCTAGTGTGATGAAAGAGTATCATGTACACGTCACGCACACGTGATGACGAAAAATACCACATCCAATGAACGAAGATTATGGAAGGATCAAAACAGGGGGGGGAACTTATGCACCAACCTAATAATATATTAGGTCATCCCATTCAAAAGTGCCGACGGTTTTATTCGAATAAAATAAAGAGGAGAATAGATAAAAAGTAATATTTTGGCTTCAAGTTAAGTAAATCCCTCCTTCACCAATGACCCGCTCCCAGTGCCCCGAAAGCCTTTGGACCTCTGGTACCTTCGATTTTTCAACAAGTGCGAGTAAATTGCTGTTGATGCCAATTTCGGCGAATGACAAAACATTGTAGCGTTTGCCGTCGGAGAGTACTCTCGACTGACGAGAACAATTGGAATCGCTCGGTTTTATGTGGGGCGAATGAAACCTAGTCTTAACACTGTTGGTCCCAGCACTGCCCGTAATACAAACAGTTATTTGGGTCTGCACTATGACAAGCAAGGGTGGCCTTCTGTAGTTGTGTTGTATCATTCATTTTGATCTGAATGCCCAAACAGGCAATATATCATCGCCAGCGTACGATTTGATTCATCTGTATAGAGGCGACTGAAAGCCAACTGGGTGGGAACCTATCGCTATGATGATCATCCACTTGCGCCCACGTAACTCTTCATGGTAGAACTCGGGCGGCTTCTCATCTGCATTCATACAAAATTGACGATTGTGAGTTTTGGCTCGAGGTCCAAGACCACCCATATTTCATCTAGGGCCGGGGTGCGTTTTCACAGTCGTGAATGACATCTCATGCTGAGAACATTACTGCTAGAGACAGAAATCGGGCATTGCGCTTCCGTGCTTTAAGCAAGAAATCTACTACTGTCTACTTAGGTACCATACGCACCCCCCTTAACGTCCTCAGTTTAACGACATGGGCAGCAGTTCCAGAAGATTCCTCAAGGCGGGGAAAAAAAAGCCTGAAGCAATGTCATCTTCGTAATTCGAAGCATTAGGTCTTGACTTCATCCACCCTTTTTTCTTGTGCAGGATGAACATTATGGGACCATCCACGACAACAATTTTTTTCCTTTCTTCCTTCTTCGGGCTCCTGAACCAAACCTTCCACCTTGTATTTCGAGAACACCATTACACACAACTACTGGTCCGGCGCCGGTCGAATTTGAGCAGCGCACTTCCCTCTTATGACGTCTGATTTGAAAATCCGGCGCTGATTTTCACCACTCAGGCTTCTTCAATTTCTCGAGAACTTCTTCTGTGGGTAGGTTCGCCAAATTTCACAGATACATAGCTAAAGGTACTAGCCTCCAAATGGTATAGTAGCCCGCTGCCCTATCCCCTTTGCTTTTCTGCCATTCCTCTATATGTCTCGGCACTTTTGAATGGGATGACCTAATATTTGAATGCCGTGACTGTCATTTTGCCGTCAATCCATGGAACAAAAAACTCATTCTAACAAAAGCTTTTATCTCGAAAATATTGATTTCACATACCAAGCCCGAAGATTTCGCAGAAGTCAAATGCTTAGTGGTTCAATAGAAAGCCAGTCGAAAGAAATCTACAACGATGTTAGAACTAGGATGTTCAAAAATGACAAGAAATGTTGACCATTTCAACTCAATCCTATCTACATATTCAATAAAAAACTAGTTTATACAATATAATGGTGTCAGTATAGCATATGAATGAGTTTACAAACAAATCTCACAGGAATACCAATTAGTCTCATACGAAAAAGGTAACTACGAGATTACCCCGTAAAAGCGTAAGTACCAAAATAGAAGAAGTAAGACATACTCAAGTTCGTAAAGATTGTAAACACCTCAGTTACAATTGACTGTTACTGCAAACATATCCAAATTATTCAGCTTTGTCTACTTGGGTAGTAGGTGGAGCGATTGTAGGTGGGCTATGTTGTGTATTTGTGCAGCAGACGGTTTCGCCATACTTACAATCCACGGATGGGCCAACACCCCACTAAGGGACAACCTGAAATGGCATCATTACGGGTTAATGACAAGACAATAGCAATATGCCGCGCTAGGCGTAGAGAGCGACGCCGCGCACGAGATGGACGAGTTGTCCTGCTCGGCCATCTGAACTGAAGCCTTGAAGAGACGGGGAGTCTCTACTTCGTCTGGATTCCCATGAGCTTCGCTGCTTCAACTGACAAACTTTTGCCATCGAACCGCCGCGCGGCAAAATATTATTGCCTTATCCAACGCGCCATCCCAATAGCATGTTTCCCAGCATTTGTTTTTTGAAAGTGAGAGGGCGTGCTGCGTAGCTTCTCTGTGCGTCTGCTGTCTTCTTGAGGGGAATAGCTGTTTGGGGATACGGCAACCATTGTCGTTTTCCAGCAACAAAAAAGTTGTGGTTTTTTATTTTTTATTTTTTTTTTTTTTTATTTTTATTTTTTTTTTTTTTTTTTTATGTTTTCAAATGAAAATAACGATATAGCAAGAATTTCGAGCGAAGTGGGTTGTCACGCCCTCTCAACCTTCGAGAGATTGAATATTAATTCTTGCTACTCACCTCATACACGGCTCCTTTACGACCAGCTTTCGAATCAGATCGCTGGCTCCTTCTTTAACAGAGGAAGGAATCTGTAACAGAAAAGAATCAAACTTTTACGCATTTAAAAATATGTGGGCGCTGATGTATAGCCGTTAACGTCGCGAGTGTCAGGAGGGGTGGAAATGAGAACGCCCTCCGATCAGCCTTGCCAATATCAACGTGACCGTTTAGTGATTGATTTTATAGGGAAACCAATTAAGGTCAGACGCCCTTTGGACGTCACATGTAATCATCGGATGATCCGAACCACTTAATGATGTGACTGGCGTACCTTTCCTAATAGCAGTAGAGATCATGAAGGGCGCACACAGAGGATTGAGCCTCCTGACATCCGGCCATCTACCCGCCCCTCCCCCCAACGGTAACAATTGTGAATGCCTCAAGACTGTCATTCACAGACTTTCATAAATAATTCATGGACGTCATCTCAATGCTGCAGCAGGTTCATTGCTCAGAAAAAAAAAAGAAAATAAAATCTTTTCGGGTGGAGGGGAGGAGGGGAGCAATGTCATGAGATTTGGTGAAGAAAAATACTTCTAACTGCTACTGACTGCAATACCGCAGAAGATTCTCCTCTAGAAACTAAAAGGTAAAACAAATTTAGCAAAACACAGAAACAGACAAGGAAAGCTTACGGCATATCGGCAGTTCATAATCGCCTGCAACGTCACAGCTTGATCAGGATGTTCAAAAGGAGGGCGACCAACAAGCATTTCGAACAGTAAAACGCCGACAGCCCAGTTATCCACCTGAATATCATAGTCTTACTCTCAATGCACCACGAACTGCCACAGAGGATTCTCGAGGTCAATGGAGTCGAGAAGCACAAGACGGTGCGACCTAACTTGGCATTCCTAAGAACAGGTAAGCTTTTTTCATAATTAGGCCTCAGCTTTAAAGAGCGCCAGGCGGCCAGGAAAAGTATTGCCTCCTCTCGCCCAGCTCCTCCATTCTTATTCGCTGCAGACCCTGAACAGTTCCCGAGAGAGGGCTGGTTTAGCGCAGCGCGAGCCTGTTGTCCACCAACTGTGGAGCTGGCCAGGCAGCAAGCCTTGGCTGAAAACGGTCGGGGCCGCGCCAAAACCCAAAAAACGGCCCCTGAAGACAAGTTCCTCGGCAATCAAGTGGTTCGCGAAATGTCTCTGTGCATTTGGCATCGTTGTCTGCATTCGCGGGAAATGTGCCACTTCCGTCACCCGAAGCGGCGAGACAAAGAAGCTAGAGACGCGTGATTATTGCAACATTTGGCAAACCAAATGATCACTTTCACGTCTTCAAGAACACGCTTAACAAACGGAATTCGCGTGTGCAGACAGCGTTGCCCGTCGTAAAATGATTTCGCCTCTCATACTTTTGGCCTCTTTCTCAATGTAGAGTTTCCTATGAGGTTACTTGGTTTCATGGCTGAGCATCTTCAACCCGTAACACTTGATCGCTGGAATCGTCTTAGAACGCACCTCGCATCCGCAGAGAACAAGACTGAGCAACTTCAGAGGCCCTGATTTTACCTAGGAATGTTTCAGAACTACATTCAGCTTATGAGCTCGGGTACCAAATGGAAGAACAACGGGAATCAATTCGAAACAGTAACGCTTACGACGAATGGAGCTATAGAAGCACACTCTTCTTTTGTGATAACCTGTTAAAGACAAATAATAAGAAAGGCTGGATATAAACTAGTAAGTTAGTACTAGTTATGTAATCTGACTGCATTCTCTTCTCGCTCGAGACTGGGAAAATGTTCAGAAGAAGGCGTGCTGTAGGATAGAAAAGGACAGGAAAGGAGGTCGCACCAGAGCACATTATCTAGGAAGCCATACATTGCACAAGCTATTAAACAATGTAAAAGAGGCGGAGTTGGTGTAGCGACAAGTGGCGGCTTACCAGTCGGCGGTCCCGAGTTTCGAATTCCCAGGTCGACCTCCGCCCAAGCCTTCTACCCTCCGGGGACGGTGTATTGGCATCAGATTCATCTGGGAGGATAAGAGCCCTTACTTGCGAAACGGAAACCAAACTACCTCCTCATATTGACCCCATGTAATAATTAATAGCCAAATATGAAGATAACTAAGAGTTTGTATCAAGTAAATCAGAACGTTACAATAACTTCACTATACTATATTGTACATCGCAAGTCATTTTATAGGCCACATCGCATTCAATAAGCCACTACGATTCTGAATGGAAGTAGAATGCGTGCCGCATCCCACAGGGATTGATCAACGGCGAAAACTTTATCCTTTTATTAAAATTGCTGGTGGTTGTCAGATTCAATGCAGTCCTCTACCAGTCCTTTCTGAAGAAAGTTGTGGAGTTTGACTAAGAAGTTTTGAAACTTCCGTAGCACCCTAATAGTATATTCTCAATGCCATAACAAGATAACAAGTATGAAAAGCCAAACTTTTGTTGAAGCTTTCAAAATGAAGAAACCTACTGTGTGATCATGGGTATGTCCACTGATCATCTCAGGCGGCAAATAGTCCAGTGTTCCACAAATCGTTTCCCGCCGTGAGTGGTTAGAAACCACAGCCCATCCAAAATCGGCAATCTGAAAGTATCTCTACTATGTATATCCAACCGAAAAAAAACTAACGGGCAGTGCCCTATTTCGTAAAGAAAAACTCCTGAGACAGCAATAATTAATAGTGCGAACGAATATTGGACAGATCGACTTCCTTACCTTTATATTTCCTTTTGAGTCTAAAAGAATGTTCTCCGGCTTTATATCACGATGAATAACACGCTTCGCATGGCAGTAGCTCAGTGCATCCGCAAGTTGACGAATGCACCTGAGTAAAGGCAGAGAGTTAGCGATTAAGCGACATGCAGAAGCCTCACCTGACAGAAGCTGGTGTGGTCCTCATTCGGAGAGGATGCACCACTTTTGCACTCGCGAAAATTTCTGCGCCAAAGCGAGCATTCTCCGCCCACGTAATTACCTTAAATTTTACGGGGCATGCCATCGTTGTGATGATCACAACGGGAGTCGTATTTGACAGCGAGGGAGGGCCGGGGTCGTATTTGGTCGTTGTTGGGAGTCGGACCGCCGAAGATCTATACAACCACTATTTCCGATAGTTGAAAATGATAAAAATGATATCTCCTGACGACCCCCACCCCCCCCCCCCCGCTCGCAGCAAAATTCTGGGGGGGGGGCGGGCAGAAATATTTTGGGGAAATTCCCGGAGTGACTAGAATGAAAAATTTCTGTTGCCAATCATGGTATACCCCCCCCGTTCACGGAAAATTATTGGCTGAAAAAACTGGAAATTTTCTGGAAAAATGGAAAAAGTGGTAGGATGTTGGGAAAATCTAGGACAAGTGGTAGGTAGCATGGGGAGGGGGGGGGGTCGTATTTCAGGATGGAATTAGAGGGGTCGTATTTTTAAGGAAACGATCACAACGCGATGGCGTGCCCTGCACTTTTATCAATTCGTTTTGCCATCGCTGGATGGCAGTGCGACCTCGCCCCCGTCACTTGTGTGTCCTACGGGTGCCTCGGCCTCGTGGGCGAAGCGCACCTATCCTGGCGTTTCTTACACAGCTTTTTCTGCGATGTGTTACTGGTACATCCTCATCGATTGCGGACGATGCCACCTTGTTGTGTAAGGGATCTAAAACTACAGAAAAAATACCGTGCTGTCCTTCGACTCTCTAATTTGGCCCCTCTCCTTCAAACGCGAATACAATTCTCCTCCGTCGGCATACTCCAGAATAATGTACACCCGTTGCCGATCATGAAAGTAGCCCTTCAGTCGAAGAATGTTAGGATGCCTTAAAAACAATTCCTGTCAAATTCCAGTCATGACCATGGAGGAAGAAAAATTATGCTAATTGCATTATATCCTTACAGTAAATGATATTGTATTTCGATTTCCCGTTTTACTTGGTGCTGTACATTATATTTCTGGATTTTGTCTTTGAAAAGACCTAAATTATGCGAAATTATCTACCAGGCGAAGAAAATTCAGGGAGATGAGAAAGAATTGGGGGTTCTAAACAAATATGGATACGCAGTTCAATACTAAAGACAGTTGGCACTATAATTCGGAACTCTGGCCGAAACTGAAGCAGGGGTGCTAAATAGTGGGGAATAGCGAAAAGCGAAGTAGCGGAACCGGTTCCAGAAACCTGCAAAAATGTCTTGTGTTCCAGAGGACAGCGATGCAATTTCGTACGAGTTCCGCGTTGCGATCGGGGCGGTGACAGGTTTCGGCACGGCACAAGCTCGTTTTTCCTAATTGCTGTTCCCCGTCGATTCTACTGTTGGTGTAGAACGGACTGAGCCGTTCTACACCAACAGTACAGCCCTCTGACACGCCCAGGCATGCGTAGCGGACGAGAACAACATACATAAGAATACATACATACATATTCGAGCTTGCTGCGGATGAAGGGGCGTGTCAGGCAGTATGAGCGTGCTACGGCGCCAAAACTGTTCTCTGTCAGTTGTTGAAGAGGGTGTGTGGTACAGACCGTACTTACTCGCACCAATTTAATGGTGGAGAACGGGTCTGCCAGCGCGTCAAACTCATCCCACCTGACACGCCCCTTCGTGTGCATCGAACTGGACTAGACTGTACATAAACACACATGACTGCGCATATCTCTGCGTACACAAGCAACGCTCATTCTCATGGGAGCATGTTGAAGGGGCGGTCCAAGCGAGTAAAAAAATAGCCCTGATTTTACAGCTCGCGACTTCTGAAACCGGACGTCCCTGGAAACTAGCAGATTCAACGGCAAATGGCCCCAAGCCTACAGAGTTAGGGATAAACGGGCAAACGGGCAAACAATCGTAAATTGCCGCTTCGTCGCGCGGGCAATGGGCGTGACGTTTTCTCAATTTGCACCACCTTTTCGATGGGAGCAGCGGATTTCGTGTAGACAAGGACGGACACTTATGTCTACTTTGACCGCAATTGTCTTTTCGGCGCATCCTGTCGGGGTCTTGGGGCCCACGGCTCTGGCGCGGCCGAATTACGATCTTTTGCCGCATGTCCACAAGTTAAGATTGCGTTCAAGACTTCGCGACGACAGCGTGCTTTACGGTCCCGGCGTTAGATGCCGGTCGAGCAAGTCGAAAGCATGCGTGTCGATTGGGTCAATAGCCATCGATCGAAGCGGCTGCTGTGAGGAAGTCTGAACGCTGCCTTAGGCAGAATCAATCGATAGATATCTAATCCCTTCGACACACTCGCTGAAAATGTCGGGTCTCTGAATCTCCACATCGATAGGTATACATGTATCAGTCAGCAATGCAAAACGTTGAACCGCCTCCTAACACACCAGAACCCCCAACACCAAGTTGCAAGGTTTTGAGCGCAATCTGAAAAGCAAGTCACTGACCATCTAACCCGTAACTGTGCTCACCTACTTTGGGGAATCTCTTCAGTGCGACGACGCGTTCTGGATTGTAACGAGCGAGATAGACGTTACCAAATTTCCCTTTGCCAAGAGGTCGCCCAATATCGAAATCATCGATTGACCACTTTTGCGGGCTGAAATCGACACAGTGGAGGCCATTAAGATACACAAAAGTAGAACAAACATCAACGAGACGAATCAGACTGAGTTAAAACAAAACATTGGAACAATACCCTTCGATAGAATCTGAGAGCTCTCCGAAGTAGTGGACACAACGTCGGGAGTTTCCTAAAATATCAGTAGAAGTGTGTGCAAATAGTATGTGAAGAGCAAAACCAAGATTAACCTCTTACCTGAAGTTGCATTCAGATGCCTGGAGAGGTTGTTGCCATACTTCAAGCCATCTGACGAAATCGACCTCAACAGATGGAAAACCCGATTCCTCCTAACGCATTCAAAGAGTTAAAAGATCAAAGGCTATAACTGCACTCAGTAGAGCATCAGAGAACGAAAACACAACCTATTTAGCGTAGCTAGGACCACTAAAGTAACCTGTCTAGTAAGCAAAAGGATTCAAAATGATCCCCCGTCGATATGAAAATGGAAGTTCCCGCCGCATTAACCGTATTGGCCGTGGAGCGCAAATTGACCACGGGGCGTCGGTTGTTCCAGAGGCACCACTACTTTGCAGTCCAGGCTAGGGCCGTTGGAGAAACGTTGTTAAAAAGCTTTCCCCCCGGAACTTCCTCTTCTTGTACAACCATTCCCTCTCCTATTAATAATTTTCCTCAGCATTCCCAGCTTTCCACCACTTTTTCAGAGAAAAAGTGAAAAATCACTGTCTCATAAAGAAACTGCTGTCGAGCGAAGGGAGAAGAGGTATACAGCGCACTTGAAGCAGAGAAAACCGAGAAAAGTCAACAGCCAGAACCATTTTTCTCTGAAGGCCGGCGCTGAACCTATACAGTTAAGTTACCGTTACGGGCAAGGTTTGGACGTAAGCAGGCTTTTTTCAAGAGCTTCTCGTGCAAAATCTGGATGCCCGTAGTGCAAAAGATCGCTTTTGCTCAAAGCAATTGGTTTGTCCACCCGGAGCCTCTCTCCCACTGCCTCTAGGTTGGGCAAACCTTCTTTCTGCCTGACTCGCGATCTCTCTGAAACAGAGCACCACAAAGAGAGGCAGGTAAAGGACAGCAGCTGCCAGAGCATGCAAAAGGACATATTGTGAGCCCAGCGTACATCCTGCCGTTGAGAAAAATTCTGCATAATTCGACCCCCTCCCCATTTCCTCTTCCGATGTGAGCCTCACCTAAAGTGTGACCCACCCCTTTATCGAATTTATCATCTTTTATTTCATTTCATTTCATTTATTCCAGAGAACTTCTAAAGACAATCAGTAAGCATGTGAAAGCAATGCGACAAGAATACACACTCAATTGCCACCAAGACCTCTGTCAATCACGCTGAAAAGAGTAGGAGCGAGAGAAATCTTATTTTATTTTATTTTATTTTTATTTTATTTGCGGCCATTACCGCACTACAACTAAAACAGTCAGTTAATCAAAACAGACACAACATTTGTAGAAACAAGGAAATAGTAAAAAAAAGAAGAAAAGGGAAAAATAGAGGGAGGCACAGAATAACCACTTTAAACTAAGTGAACTCAAAACCATTAACAGAGAAAAGACCACGAACTTGGATGACTGTTTAAAATGAAAATAGTAGTAAATTTATGAAGTTGCACGATTAAAAGCATATTTGGCAACATCTACAATATCTACATATGTACAAGTAATTCATACCGGAGAAGAAACTGTAGGGATCTCGAAACAATCTTTGTTCGACTAGCCATTTTTTTGTGTTGACCAATAATATTACGCAAGAATTATTTAACACAGGTTTCAACGGGAGAGGATTGGCAGACAGATAACGGACAGCAAAATCGAACTTGCATCTTCTTTGTCAGCGTTAGCTTTACGCGGTACGACCGCTTTTCTCTTATTCCGTAGAATTTCGGTCGATTGTATCGCCGTGAGGTGAATTCCCAGGTGGTCCATACAAAAACGGCTTTCGATGATTTCCACTTGTCAGCCGGAAAGCCACGCTGGAATGTCGCAGCAGCTGATCTCGAGGAACAGAGTTTCGTGCAAGTGATACGGTCACCATCTCGTGAATCCTATGGAGCTATTTACGAAATGAGAGCTTGTCCCCTCACTATTCATGTTAACAATGTCACAAACGCTGTAAATTAACAAGCCACATCCTCAACACACAAGGTCAGTCATCTGATCAATCCTAACTTTCAGGTAAGAGGCAACTCGTAGATTCGTTTCATCTTCTACCAAATGTTCATATTTAGCAGTGAGAGTCATCGGAATATTTCGTGCTGCCAGTAGCAGAAGCTGATAGTGCCCAGATCCAGCGCGCATTGATCCAAATTCGTTATCTTTGCGATCATCATCATCTTCCTGATTTTTTTTCCAATTTCCTGCCACTTTTTAGGTGTTTTTTTTTGTCCAAAGAGTCCTCCCCTTCCCCCTTCCCTCGCTCTTATGAAAAAAAAACAACCGTTAGGGAGAGGTGTACACAGCACCCTTGAAGCGCAGGAAATCGAGAAAAACTACCAACCGACGACAATCGCCTCAAAGGAAGATACGACCCCCACCTTCCTTCAGCGATGAAAAAACACGTTCCCCGCTGAGGATTCAACGAGGATTTACGACATGCATTGGGAGCGCCTGGTCATGTCTTTGCAAATAATGGGGTGCTCCCGGAAGCGACCCAAACGCCAAGCTTGGAAGTTGCAGCGAACGAGATAACAATAACCAGAAAACGTGAGTGCATATTCCCGAGATGGAGGGGGTGTGGCTGCTTACTTGATAGGACGTGAACAGACGTGATGTGAAGTGCCCACAGAAAAATGGGTCTTCGCGTAGGATATTCCGTTTTGGGCGACTGTGATCCTATACCGTGCTGGACAACAAAGACGTTATTACACAGTCGTTCGCTGCGGATGCTAAGGCGTGTCAGGGGGGGGGGAGGGGGGCTGAGTTAGGTGTGCGCCACCCCACTCCACATCATTAGTTGAAGAGGGTAAGCGACAGCAACTGATCGAAAACGGTCTGATGCCGCGCCAAACCCACACCCCCCCCCCTCTGCCCCAGCATTCGCAGCGAATAACACTGTACATTGTCCCACGACGGCAATACACCAAACGCGGCCACCGCAACGTTCAAATGAAATACGCGGCCACACCCTCTCCATCTACGGGATATTGTGTATGTGTACTTAGGAAACACAACAGGAAAAACGTTTGAAAGGCCGTGTTCAAGAAAATTGTAGCTTTTTCTACCTTTCTCTAGCAACTCCGAGTTGAAACATTTTTTGGTTGGTACCTTTTATCATCGGGCGACTCCGGGGTTGCATAGCTGAGAGTCACCACCAGCATATGTTGAAATGCAGTGATTAGAAAATGTAGTTGAGTACAACGACAGTAAAGGGTCCGAGGAACTGATTATTACCATGCAGGACAGACACCTCATCGTTGGGGGATCCCCAGCAGGGGGAGGCCGCATTTGGTCGCTGAGGGGGGACGTACAGATTCGACCAACATCCTCAACTAATGATGTGCTCTGTACCGTGCCTTGTACCATGAGCACCGCCTAGTACTTAGTGGGAGATACTGCATGCGTTTTGATATAATGATCTGACCTTGTGAGCAGAACCCCCAAAAGCTTGTGTAAAATACTGCTGATTACGCCCCTCCCCCAAAGAGGGTCACAATACGACCTTCCAAAATGAGGTGATATCGCAGGGTACATCATTGGTTGGGGATTTTAGTCGAGTCCGTACGACCCCCCCTCTCTCTCCTGGGGACCAAATACGACCCCCCCCGTTGGAGATTCCCAACAACGATGTGCCATGTGCGCGCGAACATCCAAAACGCTCTCTACTGTTGCACTGGAGCACGCTGTTTCGCGACATGTTGCAATATGGGTGAGAAACCCAGAAGTTTCTTTTCTTGGAATAGGTCTATCCCTATTGCCCTCTTGAGCGTAGCATTTCCAAAGTGGGAAAAGCAGCGCTGTTAAGCTCTAAGCTTGGATTTATTAGCTGTGCCTAAGCCAATCTGAACATCTTCTCTTCAAGGAAACATCCCCGTTGTGTCATCGTTGTTGGACTTTCAGTGTCACCTACCTTGCTTTGAGCAGCCACACCTTTCTTCATATGTGACCTCTTGTGGAACCAGAAACCGAGCAATATCTAGAAGACTACCCCTCGGAAAAAACTATTGTTTTCACTGACTGGCCCACTAATTTGAAAAAATTTCCCCTTTTGTTTTTTGTTGTGAGGACATTCCAGGCGGCATGAAACCCACCGTCAACCGTGGCAAACCTATCTCCAATCATTTGACAGACTATGAGTTATGTGCTCTACACACACCATTTGTTTGTTGAAGTTTTCAGTGAATACTTCATTCAGCCAGGCCGAATGACATCGCCGTCTTTATTGCGCATGCATTGCAACTCTAACTTCCGAGCAGGGGTGTTGGATAACGTGGCAGCCCTGGGATGAGGCTCCTTCGTGCAGCGCAGTATGTCTTTCAAGGATCAGAAGTGTCCAGGCGTCTAACTGGAGAAGTTTTTCAATGACAGGGCGCCAGTCGGATAGGCGCGGCTTCGCCGCAGAATGGTCGAAAAAATTGTTTTGAGAATTAACCTGCAATTTACCATGTTCACTGGCTTGTATATACCATCCTCTCCGACCCCCGTGGGAGGACAGTCATCAAAATTTTCTATAGCGCAATCCCGTCACTGATGAGGAAGCGCAGAATAAACGGCACCAACCATTTGGTATACTCGCTACGGTTATCCCTAACTAACTTCATCTGCCCAACCATTGCTCAGTTTCACTTACTTCCCATTTCCTGGAGTTTTCGGATATGTTTTGAGGGTTTTTGTCCCCGGCACCCTCACCGCTTTCTTTTTTTTCGACTCCTCATCGGCGAAGCTGCGGATGTTGGGCATTCATTCGTTATGTGTCCGCGCAAATGTTTCCTATACGTTTCCCCACAAATTATCCGCTCTCAGGAGTCTTATGAACGCGAACTACGAATTTTTGAAAGTTTTGTAGCGAGCACGCCCACCTATAGCACGCCCCGCCCATCACGGTTGTGACTCCCTCATTTCATCCGCCAACTGACTGCTTATCGTTTTCCACAATTTCCGCTCTCCGGGATCTTCTAAACCGAACTACGCGAATTTTTGAACTATGTAACTCACAACTGTGCGCATGCCCCGCCCACAGTGGGCGGAGCTTAGCTCAGTTCATGTGTGTTCCGTACATCTTGACCCATGCCCTACCCAACCCACCCTTGACGCCCGCCCCCCAACTGCGTTTTACAGGTAATCTCCGAATTTCCGAGACAGTACAAACGACAGACGTTGGCGATTTATATATAGTAGGTAGGATGACATCTTTTGCGATAGCCACAGTACTTCATATCCCCACCTGCGGCTCTCTTCCTGCTGCGCACCTTGCATCAGCCTTACAGTTCTCTCCCGGTATTGCTCACATGGTAAAATCTTCTATCTCTCAATAACTGTAACAACAGTCTAAGACTCGCAACCCGCTGCCGACTTCTGAATCAGGCCTGCACTTCAAATACGCCCTCTCCTCGCGATCAAATAAGACCCTCTACTCCTATCCCAACAACAATGACGCGTCCTGCTTGCACGACCTCCATCACTTCCCTGTGCCTACTTTTCTCGAAAAGAACGACCGGTGATTTTTTCGGCCCTATTACTCGGCAAGATCCAAAGGCGGACAGTGCCGTCATAGTAAAAATGTGCTAATTGTCCCGTGCATAGAACTGCAAGTTATGGCTGTGAGTATTGTAAGCGCAGCGTGCCACACTTTCACCTCAGGCCGAACACCCCATTTTGCACAGAAGATATGTAGAGAAAGATCGCCTCAAAAAGAACAAAAGTCCGTTTTTTATAGTTTTATGAACGTATCGACGTCGGTTGTTAATATTGTGAAATTACATAATCGTTATTATGGCAGGCAATAATGCAAGGGGAATTAGTAGAGTATGTTTGCAACAGCCACAGAGACGACACATAAAACTGAACGGCACGTTACAGATTATTCATAGTCAATCGTAAATTAGGTGCCAGTGGGCGCAATATTCGGAAGGACATAATTTACCATAGCAGCAAAAACTATTTAAGTTGAGACAGCACGATCTGGCTTATTGTTGCGTGCCTTGCCTTCATTGTTCGTCCTTGTCCTTTGTTCCATGCTTCAGCATACGGGTAAACTCAACGTAGTCAAAATATCCATTTTTGATAGGAGCGTCACGGAACAATTCGTCTACCTGAATAAAAACTCTTGGTAGTCCGTGATGATAGCCTGACCCATTCAAAACCAAGTACTCTACAAGAGTTGTGGTGTAGCAATACTGAACTTGTTTCACAGCCCTCTTAAAGGCATATTCCGCGATCGTTTCGGTGCAATCCACGCTTTGCAGAGAGTAGCCGGAACCACAGTAACAAAAATGTTTCACTTTCACGGCTCGAAAACGAGTGACCACGCTTCGAGAGGTCTGTCATTGAGGTAGGGCTCCGCCCACTGGGATTAGCCTCGCCCCTTCAGCCTTTTTGACGACTTCCGCTTCTTTTTTGTTCACTGACTAATTACCACATACTTTTTTACTTTCTGCGCCCGCCCTACTATTTGCAATGTATCCGTGTACTAAATTTTTGAAATAGACGGCTCAGGCTCTAGAGTCCAGCCCTACCTGTTCATGAGTGTATCGATCCCCCATTGTGGTTAGAAGTTCACGGAGACGATCTTCCGTTAGTTTACCCGAGTTATCTTCGTCAAAACATTGGAAAGCATTTCGTATGACCTCCTCCGGATCAGTACCTGGAAAAAAATTAATAATTTCACAGCTTCACTCAATCCTTCGTAGTTGAATTCATTACCTGTGAGTTTTTCTCCGAACAACGTCAGAAACATGGTAAAATTGATGGCTCCAGGCGCCTCATTAACCATGGCATCAAGGAACTGCTCATTGACATCCTTGCCTAAAATTGAAGGAAAAACTGCTGAAAATAATGTGTAGCCTCACAAACCGTTGGGAGATTTCAAAAAAATGACAACTGGAATTGAGCAACTTCAGTTGTCACGGAAGCACAAATGGAATGGGACAAAGCAGTAACGAGTAAACTTACTCTAGTGAGCTCCCTATCAATTATATGGAATCATCAAGTAACTGCAGTAGTTTACAGGCGCTACTTCGCTATCCCTAGCGGTTTACGTAATCGTTTTCAGTTTTTGACTTCGAAGGAGCCGCGGAAAGGAATGGATATGTATAGGTCGAACGTATCGGAGACATCTATGAGTAGGCACCCGGCAAAAAGTTTCAGACATCTGTTCGGCTGACTCTGCCTTCTCACTACTTTTGGAAAGGTGAAAGACCATGGATTGGCAGAAGCGGAAAAAAAACGAAATAATTAGATCCGCATTGATCAGCAATATCGAGAAATGGCACGTCACCAATCTTCCGATTCTTTCAGTCTGCACCTATCCACCTTTTCCTCAACGCTAACTTTCCACTTTCATGCTTCCGCTCTTCTCCCGGTCAATGCACGTCAAGCCGATTCTCTTATGCGCGCTCACTGGACGCCCTAGAGAGATACGAACTGCCAGTCAGGGCCGCCAAGAGGCGCGTCAGTGCTTTTTCGATAGAAAAAACCTGAAATTGTTTGTCAATCCTACTGAATCGCGCTGGATACTGAGCTAGTAGCTTCGATGCTAAATAAACCCGGTCAACGAACCTCTACGCGGCTCCTTTGAGGTAAGCAAGGCCATCTGGTTGTCAGATCACCTAATTCTACCATCGAAACAACCCAGTTCACTCACCATATACTACATTTCTGATCAGGGAAGGCCGCCAACACCATGGAACTTTGAATGGAGACCTGGGTAGATCGATAGAGTCTATAAGGTTATTTACAAATATAGATAGCAAAACTGCAACCTGCATTTCACAAGCAACTTATGAGCAGGTAAAGTTTGTAATGGTGCAGTAGGGTGGAGGCTTGGTGAGCTGTGAAGCATAAGCGAGGAATCGCATACGTCGAATCGAGTCGTCGAACGTCGAACCTTACCACTGAACCACCACGATTCCTCGCTTATGCTTCACAGCTCACCACCAAGCCTCCACCCTACTGCACCATTACAAACTTTACCTGCTCATAAGTTGCTTGTGAAATGCAGGTTGCAGTTTTGCTATCTATATTTGTAAATAACCTTATAGACTCTATCGATCTACCCAGGTCTCCATTCAAAGTTCCATGGTAAGTTGGCGGACTTCCCTGGTGAGCAAAAGAACGTCTGACACACCTAGTGATGCGAACATTTCTTGAAGATCCGCCTGATCGATAAATCCGTCCCTATTCTGGTCAATCATGTTGAATGCCTCCTTGAACTCCTGAAAACAGAGTATTTCAGAACACTTATAGAGGGTGAAGCCTGAACACAGTAAATACGAAATCTTCAGCTTAACTCACTTGAATTTGCGCTTGGTCAAACATAGCGAAGACATTGGAAGTGGCACGTTGGGGTCGTTGACGACGATTCACCGTCTTTCGTGAGGCCATTTTTGCTGTTCACCTGGAAATATTAACTTTCTTCATGAACATAAAAACAAAATTACATGGTACGTGACTGGTGAAAAACACGACCATATTGAGCGTTTGAGAATTTCTCAACTGAAAAAAAAACAACCGAACCGGCAAAGAATTCAAATTTCAACCCCATTCACTGAAAGTAGACCGTAGTGCCCAAAAATGGAGCCGTTGTTATGGCGGCTCCCGTACCATATTCAGAAAAACTCATGTGAAACAACATGTTCCAGTAACTACAAAAACAAGTTTTACATGAAAAGCCACTTGCTCGTACCTTTAAAGCCAATCTATAAAAAATTGGCCAAGCTTACCAGACCATAAGCCTATCCACGAGATCCACCCTCCCCGATTTCTATGATGGACCAGGAGAGGTAGAGGAAAAACACAATTTCGTAAACCATCAAAGCTCATGTCGCACGCAGTGATAAGGGACATGGAAGATCCTGAGTAAAAGACTATTGCTGTTCTTCTGTGGGCAAGAGTAAGTCAGTACAAATGTTTTCATGGTCAGGAGACGATGTAGACGTTTTCATAGCGGTCGAGCAAAGACCTCCTACGTTTGCGTCAGGCTGAAGCCAGCTGCGCAGTTTTCAGGGTTTGCTCACTCGTATGCAGTACCGAGGACCACTGTCCTGATACTAGAAGAACGAGCGCCCACTTGTCTGGAAGACCACATCACTATGTTCAGGGTGTACACTTACCCGATCACCCACCATACGAAGCGACTCTCCCTCTGGAACAGGTGAGTGGGTAAGTGAACACCCTGAACAGCGCTCTATGAGCGCAAAACCAGTGGGGAAATAACGCATACAACCGTTGTGTTACCGGGGAGGAGATGTGCACTTCTGTCCCCCCTACCAGGTAGCACAACGGTTTCATGCGGCATCTCCCCAACTTCCAAGTTCAAAAATAAGCTCACTTCTGAACCTGTCAACGTTTGGCCGTTTAATGAAACTGTCAACTTTTGTCGTTCAATAACTGTTACAACACTACTTGCACCTTCATCAAGTAGTAATGTGAGATTTATGATGCCTTCCTCATGATTTTCCTGATGTTTTTGACCTTCCCTCCTCCCACACCCACTAACCTGCTCGTAAATGTGATGTACAGGAAGGTTCCAGGCTCATAATTTTCCAACCTCTACTGCGTACCCCTTAGGCTGAGAGAAGGTCTTCTCATAGTCTTCGCTCATAATTTTCCAACCTCTACTGCGTACCCCTTAGGCTGAGAGAAGGTCTTCTCATAGTCTTCACCTGATACCGGCTTTCATTCCATAAGCAAGAGAAAAGGCACCTTTCAGCTAAAATCAATGCAAATAGCTTAGCAAATAGAGCAGCCAATGAAGTTATTGCCCTTTTGCAAGAAAACGTTGTGAAAGGATATTACTAACAAGTAGTTAGCACTGGGCTTGCTTTTTATCATC